AGACGGAGGATGTCTGATCAGGAGACCCTACAAGAGGGAGGGACCAAAGGAATCTTGAAGATCCAGTCTGGCCCTAGACACCATGGGGCAGCATCTCACAAGTCCCTTATGAAACTCCTCCAAAACCAGGGTTCCAAGTTTGCAGAACTCTGCCTACTGTATGTCCTCTTACAGTTTCCTGATGCATTTTAGCATATCACAGTCACCAAGGAGTCCTGCAACAAAGAAACTAATTTAGCTTTCCCCAAAATCTGTGACCACAGAGTCCTTTTACAAAGAAAGCCCATTAACATCTCTTGGAAATAACGTTCCATTGGAACCACTGCTGAAGAGGATCGGTACGTGAGGAGGAGGACTGGGCTGCCCCAGGATCAGTCTGGAGAAGCGGGGACTACGATGGTCCTCTTGGCTCGGTTTCCATGTTGGGGCCTCAGGAGTTGGGCTCTCGCTCCCTCTCAGAGTCCTGCTGGCTGGGCTGAGATGATGATAATGATGGCAGTAGCTTAGAGCTTACTCTATGCCAGGTATGGTTAAGCATTTGATGTATTCACTCCATTCTCACAGCAGTCTATAGGGTAGGTACAGGTTTTTAGATATAAAAATTTAGATATAAAAAAAACTAAGTTGAGCCCGGCCAGCGTGACTCAGTGGTTGAGCGTCAACCTATGAACCAAGAGGTCACAGTTCAATTCCCAGTAGGGATACATGCCTGGGTTGCGGGCTTGATCCCAATGGGGGGCGTGCGGGAGACAGCTGATCAGATTCTTTCTCATCATTGATGTTTCTGTCTTCTCTCTCCCTTTCCCTTCCTCTCTGAGATCAATAAAAAATATATATTTAAAAAAACACACAGTAAGTCGAACTCTCATTCATTGCTGGTGGAAACACAAAATTGGTACAGCCACTTTGGAAGACTGCTATACAGTTTGGGACATGTCTAAATCCAAATAATGCCCACAGGGCCATCCACCGACCGGGTCTCCTGATAGCCTGAGGGAGCTGTTTCTTCAGATAAGAGAGGGTCTCCCTAGAGCAGTGGTTCTCAACCTTCCTAATGCCGCGACCCTTTAATACAGTTCCTCATGTTATGGTGACCCCCAATTTCATTGTTACAAATTGAATATAATTAAAGCATAGTGATTAATCACAAAAACAATATGTAGTTATATATGTGTTTTCCGATGGTCTTAGGCGACCCCTGTGAAAGGGTCGTTCGACCCCCAAAGGGGTCGCAGCCCACAGGTTGAGAACCACTGCCCTAGAGGAAAAAAGGAAGGACTCGCTTGTTCTGAGGTTCTCCAGAGGCAGATGCTGAGGGGGATCAGATGTGAGGGAGGGAGAGGCAGCGTGGGGTAGGGACTGAGAGATGGCTGGCTGCCCGCTGCTCCTACAAGGGGGGTGGGCCACAATAGAAGGGTCCAAGGAATTCCTCCTGGAGCAGGAGGCAGCCAGGTTAAGGGCAGCACGGTCCTCATTCTCTTCACATCTGCTGGCATGTCTTATTCTGACTCTGTCCCCAGGAGCCCGTCAGTGTTGGAGCCGGGACTTCCTCCCAGGGCCAGGAGGGAGCACTGTCCAAAACTGTACAGCGGCCTGGCAGGGGCGGAGGCCCGTGCCCCCAGGTGTGTGGGGAACCACCCTCCTCCACCAGGAGGGTCAGGGGAGATGAGACCTTCAGAGGCCATCCAGGACTTTGTCCAGGGGGCACCCCAGGAATCTCTGTAGGGCCAGAACCAGCCCCCACACTGCTCAGCAGAGAGGACCCAGGACCCACCCACCCAGGTCATCGCCCCGTTCCCAGTCCGGCCCAGCTTTGCAGCCAGCCTCCCCTAGGAACCTGGAGGGATGGTTTGGTTCATTTATTTGTTGACTGGCCGTCGCCCCAATGAGGAGGTGGTGTTCTTGAGGGCAGGCCAACAGGCCCCAGTGTGTGCGGGCTCCAGGAAAAGGGAATTGCACTCCCCACCCCCACTTCACCCCCCACTTCACCCCACCTCCACTGCAAGGCCGGCATTGAGCCTGGGGCCCCTAGTCTGGGTCCCATATGGGCCTTTGGGCCCTGGGTGGCCTGGTCAGCTGCCCTGTTTTCCCCCAGCCATACCTTGGGTGCCCTCACCCAATGTTGCCACTGGGCTGGGCTTATCTGTCTTCCTGGTGTTGACGCAGATGCTCCTGGGCCCAGCCCTGCTGGCCCCACAGGCTCCCGGCCAGGCCAGGGCGCAGGTCCCACTGCTGCTCTCCAGGAAGGGATCAATGCAGGGCTCTCATGCCCTCCTGGGCAGCGGTGTGCCTGAGGGCTGGGCCTGAGCCAACAGGGCTGGTTACATGACTGGGTCCTGCTGCCCACTCCCAGGACCTTCCTGCTCCCTCCTGCTCCCTCCTGCTCCCTCACCCCAGGGGCTTATTCTGGCCCCAGGGGGAGCTTCTTGTCTCCCCAGACACTGAGGACCTCCAACCTTAACCTCTCCAGCCACTGGGAGCGAGTGCAGTCGCCTGGAACCTCTGCACCCATCAAAATTCCTATTCCGACCCACCAGGGAGTTGTGCGTTGTCATGTGGGTGCCACTAGGGGGCTTCCTCTCTCCGCCCTTCTGTCCTCCAGGCCCCTCTGAACCGCAAGCCCTCTCCCACTTCCACCTCATGGTAGATGCCTGGTGCCTGGTGGGTCGGATGGGAACTTGCTTTCCCAGACCCGGCTGGGTCAGCCTGGCCGTTTCCTGGCTAGAAGCTGGAGGACATACTGTTTCGTTGTGGACCTTGAGTTTGTTGCATTTGGACCTTGAGTCCTGACTCCTTCACTCCCCGCTTTTCTGATTGTTGTTCTTCTTGCAATTTCTTGTTTATTCTATTTCTCCGACCCAGGCCGCTTCACAGCCCGAAGCCGGTGACTTACTCTTCTGAGTGCTTTTGTTACAGAGCAGGAAACTTTTTAGGCCTGCTTAATTACCTAGCCACCTCAGCAGCTTGACAGCCTGTGCAAAGTTTCTAGGAACTGAGCTCCCACACCTGAACAACGTCCCACAAAGAACAGACAGATCAAAATGAAGAATAGTCCTGACCTTGAAGTTACCCAGAAATGAATAACCGGAGGACGATGAATAGCTTGGCTAAAACAACGCAATTAGCTTTTGTAACTTGGCTTTGCTTACTATGGGAACCTGAACACGGATATAGTTGTCCCCTTTAAATAGTGGACTCTGCAGATGGTCGGGGCCGCTTCTCTCTTGGGCTTCCCGAGTGGACACTGGCCAGTCAATAACGGCTCTCTAAATTTTAATCAGTCTGGAGTTCTGGTCATTCTGTCGCTCGCACTCCACAACACTTTCAGGCCCGGCCACACGGTCACCTTGAATCTCGTTTCAGGTCCCACTGGATGGGTTTCGCCGTTTTTGAATCTGAATCTTCAGTTTTCTGAGTTTTCACCCTGGACTTGCAGGAATGCAGGCTTACGTAATGTGTTGCTTTTCTATTGCTGCGGTAACTCTCTTTGTGGCCTAAAACAGCACAGGTTTATGGCCTTAAAGTTTGTAGGCTAGAATTCTGACAAGTATCTCACTGACTAAAACTATGGCATCAGCCTGGCTGGTTTGGCTCAGTGGATAGAGTGTCGGCCTGTGGACTGAAGGGTCCCAGGTTCGATTCCAGTCAAGGGCACATGCCTGGGTTGTGGGCTCGATCCCCAGTGGGGGACTTGCAGGAGGCAGCCGATCCACCATGCTTCTCTCTCATTGTGGATGGATGTTTCTATCTCTCTCTCCCTCTTCCTTCCTCTCTGAAATCAATAAAAATATATTTTTTTAAAAAAGAATTTATTTACCACCCCCCCCCAAAAAAAAAAAAATCCCACGGCATCAGCAGGGCTGCCTTCCTATCTGGAGACTCTGGAGAAACCATTACCTCACCTTTTCCAGCTCCTGGGGCCGCCCTCAGTCCTTGGCTTGTGCCCCTTCCCTGTCTTCAAAGCCAGCAATAGTGGGTTGTGTGCTTTTCCTATCACATCGTTCGGCCCTCCTCTTCCGACTGCTTCCGGTTTTAAGGACACTTTTACACGGGGCTCACCCGGATGACCCAGGACAACCTCCCATCTCACGCCCTTCATTTAGTCCAGTGTTCTCAACCTTCTGGCCCTTTCAATACAGTTCCTCATGTTGTGACCCAACCATCAAATTATTTTCGTTGCTACTTCATCACTGTCATGTTGCTACTGTTGTGAATCGTCATGTAAATATCTGATCTGCAGGATGGTCTTAGGCGATCCCGGTGAAAGGGTCGTTCGACCGCCAAAGGGGCTGCGACCCACAGGTTGAGAACCGCTGATTAGTCACATCAGCAGAATCCCGTGGTGGCCAGGATAGAAGCGCCCACACCCAGCATCCTTGTCCCCCCGGGGCCCAAGCTGGGCACATTCCCTGTGGCTTCCCAGAGGGCTCCAGCGGGACTGCCTCAGCCGCTCACACAGCCACCTCTTCTTTTGGGCAAATGTCACTGGGTTCCTCTCTCTCTGCCTTGGTCCCCCCACTTCCCACTACAGCTTTTTGGTATCACCTCCCAAATAAACTACCTGCACCCCAGCCCTGGTCCCAGGTCAGCATTTGGGGGGCCGCATTAAGACCAGGAGCACCTGACATCTGTGTGATGGGGCCACCGGCATGAGCACTGGGGTGTTTGGGGGTGTTTCCTTCACGATACCCCACTCCAGTCTTCCTGGCGCCCAGGTACCCTGGTGCTACTAATGTCCTTCCATAAATTATCTTTCTGATTGAACTAACCTGAGCGGGTTCTGCTGTTTGCAACCCAAACCTGTAATAGCACAGGTGGGTGGAGAGAGATTTAGGAGTTAGGGAGTGGTCTTGGGGTGGACAGGACACGCGTGATCATGAGGGTGTCCAGGAAGCCACCTGGAGTCCACAGAATGTTCGGCAGCCACTAGAACATGCAAATGTTTTTATTAGAAACAGGACAGGAGCCTGGGCCTGAGGCAGCAGAGGGCTCCGCTGGGCTCAGGCTGGCTGCAGGAACGGGGCAGTCCGGAGAAGGAGGAGGAGCAGCCAGGCGGGTGGCTTGTGAATGCTGCTGCTGGCTATCAGCGTCTGCATCCATTTGAAGTGAGTACTGACGTTGGTGTAGACACCGGGCCGGTTGGGCCGACCACAGCCCACTCCCCAGCTCACGACTCCAACCTGATACCACAGCCCTTTCTTTTCACAGGCCAAGGGTCCGCCCGAGTCACCCTGGGGAGCAGAATGCGTGAGCAGGGCCTGGGGCGGGGCAGGAGGGGTTGGCAGAGAGGTAGGGAGAGCAGGAGGGGCTGTAGAGCTGGGAAAACGGGGTACGAATCCTACTCCTCCCCCAGGAAGCGCCCACGTTTCTGCATCTGCAAAAGGGGGGCCACAGTCTCAACTCCGCAGGTTGCCGTGAGGACCAAAGGATACAGGTGCCTCTCGGGCCTGGGGCTGGGTTGGTGAGAGACTAGGACCCAGAAGGCTCTGGTTGGGGTGGGGAGGGACACTCACGAAGCAGGCGTCCCTGCCGCCTTGAGCATGGCCAGCGCAGATCATGTCTCCCCAGATGTTGTAGCGGTAAGAAGGCTGCGTGTACATGAAGTCGCACATGCTGGTGTTTATGATGCCGACCTCCACTTCCTGGAGGCTGTAGGGAGCCGGCAGGTCTACGGAGGAGTTGAAAGACAGAAAGAGAGAGCATCCTGAGACTCCCCTCTGCCACCTGGTTGGGAGGGATGGTGTAGGTTACCGGGCGGGGGCAGGGTCCCTGGGGCATCCGTGGTGCCTTGACGAGTCCTCTACTCAGGCCTGGCACCCAGCACCTCATGGGTGATGAGCAATATCACAGAAAGACCCAATAACTGGACAAGCCGTTACAGCTGCTCCCGGGTTCCCTACGTGCAACATGCAGATGACAGCAGTGAAGAGCGACCTTAGCATCCCCGGGGGAGGCGGGTGACGCAGCTGAGATGTTTTAGGATTAACACACGTCAGGGCCTGAGCCTCGAGCTCCCACAGCCCCCCCAGGCTGCAGCACAGTCATGACCCACTTTCAGGAAAGACGCACCCAGAAATGGCAGAGCCTGACATGAAGCCAGGTCTATCAATTCCTAAGTCTGGGCTGGGATTACCTTTTCCTGCAGGGGATTGTGACCACAATAACACGAAAAGCTGATGTGTCAGCAGAGCCTCCCATCTGCCGGGCACTCTGCCACCCTCTGTATGAATGCTTTTAAACCTCACAGCCACCCCATGAGGGGGAACTGTTGTAACCCCATTGTACAGGTGAGGAAGTTGAGGCACAGTTAGGTGAAGTGCTTACGCAAGATCTTCCAGCGCGCGCGTGGCAGAGCTAAGGTTCACAGCAGGCAGGGCTCCACGAGTCACCCGCCACCTGTGACAATGAGGTGGAGCCTAGGGCTGGATGTGATCACCTGTCGGCCTTGGGCCAGGGCGGGAGGGGACAGTCTACCTGGCTGGGCCTCCCTGCAGCCCTTTGGAGCCAGGGAGGTGGACGGCAGGGGCACTTTATCCAGCCCCTTCTACGGGAAAGGAAAGGACCCCAACTCTAGAGGGAGGCAAGCCTAGTGTTGACTTCTCTATCCCCTCTGCCAATTCCAGATGTGTGACCACAAAGACAGCCCTGGCTGCTCCAATGACCCCTTCTGGGGTCTTGGGCAATTTCCATTCCCTTGTCAGCTTGCTCATCTGTGAAGTGGGTATAAATGTTCCCAGCCTCATTTGCAGGTAAGCTTCTGAGGGAAGATAGATGGTACCTGCTCACTCCTGAGTCCCTAGAGCCTAGAACAGTGCCCGGCACAGTGTGCAGGCAGGAGCTTCTGCTGTTATTATTACGACTAGAAGCCCGGTGTACAAAAATTTGTGCACTGGCCGGGGAGGGGGGTGGGGGGGGTCCCTCACCCAACCTGTGTCCTCTCACAGTCTGGGACCCCTCGGGAGATAACCACCTGCTGGCTCAGGCCCGCTCCCCTGGTGGCAGATGGCACGCCCAATCCCGCGGTGTCTGCCCCATCTCCCCCTGTCGCAGATGGCAGGCCCGGATCCTGCGCTGGGGCGGGCGGTGGCTGGGGATTGCGCTGCCGCGCCCCACCCTCCCCCCCAGCCTGGGCCGCACACGGCAGGCCTGGATCCCAGGCTGGGTCAGGCAGCCGCTCAGATCATGCTACCGCCTGCCCTGCCCTGCACACGGCAGGCCGGGATCTCGCGCGGGGTGGCGCAGCAGGATCTGCCTGCAGTATGCAAATTAGCCGCTATATTTGTTGGCAGTTAATTTGCATATCACGCTGATTAGCCAATGGGAGGCGTAGCGAAGGTATGGTCAATTACCATGTTTGTCTATTATTAGATAGGATTGTTAAGGGTGAGGCAGGAAGGGGCCAGGCCAGGGAGCAGTGTAAGGGGCAGTCCAGGTGGAGGGCCTATGCCTCCCCTACCCCAGGGCACCTTGGGGGAGGCTGTGCCCAGCGGTTTCAGGGGATTTGTGGTGAGAGATAAGCAGATGGTGGCTGATTACTGACTCAAAGACCTCCTGCAGAGCCAAGGTTGGAGGATAGCTTGACATTCTGAGGATAGAGAAATGGGCTCAGCATTCCAGGAGAGCAGGCCACCGTGGATAGATAAAGAAGGCATGGAGGAGACAGAGTGGGGAGGTTGGGTGGCTGGGGGAGGGGTGAGCACCAGGGTGGAGCCTTTTCGTCAGGCCCTCCCACCAACACCCCTGCACGCTGGGAGGGTAGCCTGGGCCAAGCTGGCCTCCCTCTCACCACTAGCTTCTGGCTCAGTCTCTGGGGGGAAGAGGGGCCTGAGTGTGGGCACAGCAAGTCCTGCCCTTTCAGGGGGAGCAGGAGGGCACAGCGGGTGAGGAGAGAATGCTGACCAGGCCCACAGAGGGGCCCAGCTGGTGCAGCTAGAACAGGGAGCAGAGGATCATGCCCCTGCACCCCTGCCCTAAACCCCCCACCTGTCCCCCACCTCACCCTCATTTTCTTGGATGTCCCCCCAGCCGGTCACCCAGCAGTCACTCCGGTTCTGGAACTCATCGGAAGAGGCGAGGACACAGATGGGCTGGATGTACTTCGTGTAGGTGACAGGCGAGGCCAGCCTCAGCATGGCAATGTCAAAGGCTGACGCCCCCAGATACCTGGGGCTCATCACAATCTCCTCCACCTGGTAACGGTTGCGGTAGGCCTGCAGGTTCCAGATAGACGGCGCGGCAGACAGCTCGCCAAACTGGACTGTCCACATGCCGGGGCTGGTGTTCCTGGCAGAGAGGAGAGAGCAGTCAGGAGGCCTTACCAGAGGGTCAGCCACCCGAGCACACCTGGGGCCTGCTCCCAAGAGTGGTGAGCTCAGCCGCTGTGGCTCCGTGGTTGAGCAGAGACCAATGAACCAGGAGTCATGGTTCGATGCCCGGTCAGGGCACATGCCCGGGTTGCAGGCTCGATCCCCAGTGGGAGGGTGTACAGGAGGCAGCCGATCAATGATGCACTCTAATAAGTGATGTTTCTATCCCTCTCCCTTCCTCTCTCTGAAATCAATAAAAACATTAAAAACAATAAAAACGAGTGGTGAGAGGTTGTCCAGAGAGGTTGCAACCCAAATCCCAAAAACTGGGAACTTGGAGGGTGGTGATGGGGCAGGAGTGATCTCTCACAGCCTTGAACAAGAACGAGCAGATGCACGGATGCCCAAGCGGGACACTCAGCAGAGTGCAGTCAGAACAGCCTCCAGGGCCCTAGCCGGTTTGGCTCAGTGGATAGAGCGTTGGTCCCGGGTTCGATTCCCGTCAAGGGCACGTACCTTGGTTGCAGGCTTCTCCCCGGCTGGGCCCTGGTCGGGGCTCATGCAGGAGGTAACCTATCAATGTGTTTCTCTCACATCAATGTTTCTCTCTGTCTTTCCCTCTCTCTCCCTAAAAATCAATGGGAAATGTCCTCAGGTGAGGATTAAAACCAAACAAAACAGCCTCGGGGCCACTGCTGCCCCAGGCAGGTTCTGTGCCCAGCACTCACCCACCTCGCTCGTTCCTCCCCGCTGTGGGGCACCTCCACTGGGAGGTGGGAGGAGGAAGGTGAAGGTTAGCCATGCCATTTGGGGAGAAAAGAACAAGAAAGAGAACAGAACAAGACAGGAATGTGCAGGGGAATGTTCTGGAAGACCCTTCTGGGAAAAACTGAAGAGTCCCCAGCAGGGCCACCATCTGCAGTGGGGCCTGGGGTCCAGAAGAACACGAGGGTCACATCGTATACGAAGAGGGTGGTGCAGGCACGGGGTCCGGTTCTCCGACCCACAACCCCCGGGCTCACCTTTCAAAGCAGTGCGCGGCCGAGAGCACCCAGCGCCGGTTGAGCAGGCTCGCCCCGCAGGAGTGGTAACCCCAGAGGCGCAGGCTGCCCTGCCAGGGCCAGCGCCCAATCGTCGCGTCCTTTCCGCCCACCACACGTGTCCCTATGGCCCGGCGGCCACAGGGCCCTGGGATGGACAGACCGAACTGGACTGAGCTGCAGGACACAGGCCCGTCTGCCCACCCCGGCCACCCGGGAAGGGGGTTCCCCGGGCACCGCGCGCAGCCTGGGGTCACGCGGCGGAGGGAGAAGAGGACGCTGGGGACCCTCCCCCCACTCGGTCTGCAGGCGCCCGCCCCTCCCCCCAGGGGCCCATCAGTTACATGTGAGGAACGTCGAGTTCTCGAAACCTGGGGCGAGAGAGACGAAAAGGTGAGGCGCCCTGTGCACTGCGGCCCAGGTGTGCGGAGCAGGGAAGCGAGCGCCCTGGGCGCCTTACCTGCAAACAGCGTGTCCTGCTCCGGCCACCCTGCGGGGAGGCGAGAAGGTGAGCTCCCCTCGGCCTCCGTGCTCCCCACCCCGCCCCACCACCGCGAGGTCGCCGGCATCTCACCCAGCTCGTCCAGTTCAACTCGCACCAACAGCTGCACCAGCAGCTGCACCGCCACCGCCACCGCCGCCGCCGGCGCGCCCATGGCCTCCTCTCCCGCCGCTTGGCGCCCCCTCCGCTTCTGGCTGCTCCAGGGCCCCGGCGCCGGCGCCCCCTGGGGGAGCGGGAACCCTGGCTGCCACCTTCTCCAAGCGTGACCTTGCTGGGTCAAAGGGCATTGGGGAACACTGACCTTCTGACCTTACAGCGCCCAGCTTTGAGTTTCTCCTGGGCGGGGTCAACCACACCCCCTTGATGTGGCCCAGGAACCGATGCACCTAAACCGGTGGTTCTCAACCTTCCTCATGCCGCGACCCTTTAATACAGTTCCTCATGTTGTGGTGACCCTCAATTTCATTGTTACAAATTGGACATAATTAAAGCATAGTGATTCATCACAAAAACAATATGTAATTATATATGTGTTTTCCGATGGTCTTAGGCGACCCCTGTGAAAGGGTCGTTCGACCCCCAAAGGGGTCGCGACCCACAGGTTGAGAACCGCTGAGTCCTAAACCATCCCCTTCTTGTCTGCAAACTCTGGGATCCCGGCTACGCTGCTTGCTGCCCACTCCTAGGGAGGAGCAGGGACCTGGCCCACAGCCAGGGCGCCATGAAAGCACTAACAGTCCTCACTGAGGCCTGTCCGGCAGGGCGGTTAGGCTGGTCCAGGAAGGGAGATCCTTCACAAGACGTGCTTTGGGACATGGTGGCCCAGGGCCGTCTCTTCCTGAGGAGGCAGACAGGCTAGCCCCGCCTGCTCTGGCTGCCCCCTGGTGGCAGGCCTCCGCCCTCCCCCTCCTCCTCCTTTTTCTCCTCCTCCTCCTCTGGATCAAATCTTGAAAGGTGGAAAGGATCTTTCAAACACATTCCTGGGGTGCTGGGGTAAGGAAATCACCAACATGGGAGCGAGAGATACCCCAGTGGTTGTCCATCCCAGTGTCCCTGTGACCAGTGACTCTGCATGGGGGTCCCAGGAAGGCTGTGCCACCTGGTAGCTCTCTATGCCCGGACACCACCAGAGACCCTGTGGCGTTCACAGTGATGAGTGACTCAGCGCTGGCTTCTGGGAGTCCCTCCAAGCAGGCACTCCCGCCAACAGCTGCACCAGCAGCAGCGCCCCAACCGGAGTGCCCGTGGACTCCAAGGCAGGGGCCATAGAGGGTAGAGGGTAGAGTGTCCTGGGCATGCTCCCCAGAGGAAGAGGTGAGAGCTGTTGAAGGGTGTGACCACTCCAGTGGTTCTCAACCTTCGGCCCTTACAGTGCTCCTGGGCACAGGGACCCTGGCCTCTTCCACATCCTTGGCAAGACCCTCAGGCCTTCCCTCCTCTGCCCAGGCCCCGGCATCACAGCACCAGCCTCTCCCGCCCCCTGTGGGGCACTTACTGTGTGCTGGCCCTCTGCCAACCATGCCACATGCCTCTTGCCTGATTTCCCAGGAGCTACTGTGAACCCTTCCTACAGCAGAGGAACTGAGACTCTGATGTTTGAAGGACTTGCTCAAAGCCCTACAGGTGGCAAAGCCAGATACATCTACTCGGTGCTGTGTGTAGTGCCCAGCACTCCTGAGTGGGGTAAGAAGTTGGGGAGCGGAACTGCAGACTCTGGGGTACTTCCCACTTTGTACCCTCAAGCATTCGTTTTCAACCCGGGGCTCTCGAGGGCCCCAGGTGGGCCCAGGATGCCTGGGTTCTGAGGAGGGACCCTTTATTCAAGGAGGTGGAGCAGCTGGAGGAGACAGGGATATTCTCCTTGAATACAAGTGCCCCCTGCCCTGGCCTGCAGCTGTGACCCTGGCCCCTCCGTCAGAGGCCTTGCAGAGGTTGTGTGGGCCAGAAAGGAGAGCCGACCAGCCTTGGGCACTAGCGGGAGGGAGGATGTGGGAGACTTTTCGTGATTCCTAAGTTTTTCCCATCCTTTCGATGGCCCCCCAACTCCCATCAACCTAACCTCCAGGTAGTTCCCCCTCCAAGAGCGTATTACCCCTGGGGGCACAGTGATTGTTCACAGCCACAAATGCTTGATTTAGGCTGAAATCATGCTCAGTGAGTACCCCAGTGTTATTGCTTTTTCCCTCTACCTGATCGCTTGATTTCTGAGAAAAAATGTTGATTCGTTTGTTTCTTGAGTATTTAGAACTTTTTTTTTCTTTATGTATTTCAAAGCTCTGTTGACAGGGGCATAAAGACTCATGTCTCTTACATCTTTTCAGGGGCTTGTAACTTTTATCAATGCAAAACACCCCTATCTCTAGTTCATTGGGTTAGCCCTGGGTTCTATTTTACCTGAAATTATCTGATATGTGATACTACACACAGCCACTTTCATATTGTTTGCCATTTCTTCACCAATATGTTTCTTTCAATCAAGACAAAATGAAAAGAAAACATTTGTGATTCCGGAGAGGCGAGTCCCTAGTGGGGACTCCAGCCCCGAGCCCAGAGGGTTCTTGGCTACGGGCAGGAAAGAATTCAGGATGCGAGCCAGACAAGAGGTCGAAGTAGGAAAGCAGGTTTTATTGAGCAGAGAGGACAAGCAAGAAAGGCCACTCCACACACAGAGTGGCAGACTCTCCTCACAAGAGCAGGAAGAGAGACCCCAACCATCTCTAGAGGTTGAGCTTATATGTTTGTAGTTTCTGTGGAAAATTGCTGTATGGGGAAATAGAGAATGGAAAAGAAAAAAAACACACCATTGGGATTAACCTTAACCTCTATAAGGTGTATTTTGTGGTATGTTTTCCCTTTATGGGACGGGTAAGCGATAAGGCATGGGTGAGTAGCTATTAATCAGTCTTTGCAGGAATTTTCTTTGTCCGGAGTCTCTTAGTGGTCTGCTTCCAGCTTCAGTTAGCTGAATTCCATGTCGGACAGCACAGAGCAGGCCCGGACTTAACTTTGACGTTAGTTGATTTGTATAGTTCCCATGCCCCTTTTCTATATTACTTTGAAATTACAAAAAAATTAAATGTCTTAACCTACTTACCCTTATTGAAATGTACTTGCTAGAACACTTATAAAGTAGTAAACTAATTCCATGAACATATTATCAATTTTTGTGACTACAAAAATGGTTTTTATGATTCATTGATACCTTATGGGGCCGAAGGCACATCCTGCTTAGTTGAGATGGTTTGAGGACTCCTAGATTATCAGAATTATGAAAGAGCCAGCTCATTTAATAAGAAACCTGTCTTAAAGACATCACAACAGCCTTACCGTAACCATCAGTGAGTTTCTTAGAACCACACCCACTCAATAATCCTTTTTTGTGCTCACAGGTATCAGGTCACCTTCGAAGTGTGATATTGAGGAGGTAAAACATTC